ACGCAATTTACGAAATTAAACTTGATCTTCGCGGAAGCGAGCAATGAAGCGGTTCACCGTGCGAACTACCCGTTTCGGCTACACGCTCTGGAATGAAAGAGAGGTGGGTCGCAGGGCTTAGAGGTTTCCAGGAGGGTGGATGGGTGCTCGAGAAGAAGGTTGTGGGTGGCGAAACTGCGCCATACCAAACTCGGCACAAGAATTTCGCGAGGAAGTGTACGTGCTCTTCTATGCGGACGAAAGTAGTAGCGTCGGTGCAATTTCACAGCCGTCGCATCGGGGAAATGCATTCTTTCGTCTAAATTCAAGAGAGAAGCGCAACCGTCGACCACGTTTCTTATCTCGAAAGATCTTTGCACTGCTTTGCCATTGCCAAAGAGAAAAAGAACGAATAAATCCCGAAAAAACGACGAGAGCGACAACATTTCTCCCCTCCTTTACCGTCGCGCGTACGATCAAGGAGCCTCCCCGGATCGAAAACAATTTCGATCCGATTTTTAATCCCGGACACGCGATAAATATTGAATAACGCGACGTCGAATTCTCGGACGAGCGCGAAATTCTCTTGCCCTCCTCCTCTCGAGAGAGCATTAATCATCGCGCGAGAGGGGGCCATAAAGTTTCGCGATCGCGTGATTCCGGATGGACGAAAAAGTCTCGCACGCGATACGAGAAAATGGAAATCGATAAAGTAAACAGAAGGCAGGCACGATACACAAGTTAATTCGATTAGGGAGAGGCGCGGATCAAACGTGTTTTAGATGGTCGATAACGGGGGGGGGGTCTGCGATGGCCGCGTGAAATCCACGACGACACGGAAAAAGCATCCACGATACTACGAGGATTCGTCCAATCGGATATCTCGTGGCCGAGAGATCGATTTCAAATAAAGCGGAAAAGGCAGAGAGAGCCGCTATTATATTTGACTTTCGACTTCTCTTTCCTCCCACGTATCCTCGATTTCACCGAGCCGAGCAAACCGCCGATTCAAAGGGTTCGCAACGATGCATGCATACACAGATTCCTTCCTTCCTCCTCCTCCTCGATACGAGACGAGCGTTTTCATTTTCTTCTTTGCACAAGCCTGTTTAGGAAATGAGCTGCCGCGTGGGAAATTTTTGGAAAGCTGCGTTGAGAACGGAACAGCTGTTAAAAAGTTACGATTTCGCGATACGGTTAAGGATCGAGAAAAAGGAAGGAAAGAAACTAAAGGAACGAGATATATAATAACGCGGGTATCGCGTGGAACACCTGCTCCTCCTCGCGTTATAAAGGATGAGAGACACGGTCGTCCCTCAACAGGAAGGTTCGTTTCCAGCGTAGTTTGCCAGGAGCCCTTGCCTACCAATCTATACCTACCGACCTACCCACCTTTTTCTTCCCCCCTTCGTTCATTCTAGCTCGTTACAACCGGTCGATGTAGCTGCCACCGGAGACCCCGTAAATTCGACTTCGTCGCTGGGACGCGAAATTTCGAGAGGAATCCTGGCCACGCTCGATCGACCCCTTCCCTTTTAAGGAAGTGATTCTCGAGATTTCTCTCGACGATCGAAACGAAATTTGAAAGGAACCAGGATAAACATTGGATCCGCGAGAGGTTTAAGAAGAGAGGGTATCGTTTCTTTTTATATCCTTCTGTCCTTCTGTAGATAGTCCCCTGATTTATTATTAACGGCACGGTTTAAAGTTCGAGGCAAACTATTTGATAGTGAGGCGTTGATACGCAACGATGGCCGCCGAATATCCCGAACTTCACAAGTGAAAGTTGAGGACGATTTGGGCGAGGTGGTAGACAGGTTAAAATGGGCTGAAACAAAGATAACGGATTATGGCCGTGTTCGAGCGACGTTGCTTAATTCATGGGAAGCGGGGATGGCGTCGCCCTGTACCAGGAGTAGATCTTTGTTAAACTTTAAGTAAGGAAGGCTCGCGCGAATTTTATTTGACACCTGATGAATGTGCTCGTGCCACGAAAAGGTAATGAGAATTCCTGGATCGTGCGCGAGTCAAGTATGAAGTATCGCTCGTACGGATAATGAAACGGGAAGAATTGGCCTGAAAAGTGGACAGGCGGAGGATACAACGGGGCATTTTTCGAAGAGAAAAAAAGGAAATACGAGAAAAAAAGATTCGCAAGCAATTTGGATAATGTTCCGTTAGAATGGAATTCTTCTTCGTTTCGAGACGAAACATATTGTGTGTGTCGATTGTTGTTGCCAGTTTTCCAATCGAAACGAACGAAACGATGATAGAACGACGAGGAAGATAAATACGCGGTGGACGAGTGTGCAAGAAAAGGGCGAACATAATGAAGGCGAATAAAATGCGTGGAATAATAGTCGAACGATGAATAATGCACGATACAATCTTGAGAGTTTGAGCAAGAGGCAGAAATACGTGGAATCCGTTGTAATTGATTCGTTACGAGCCCGTGAACGTTCGATGAATGAAAGCTAATATCTATGAAACAAGACGAAACAGAAGCTTATCTATGGAGCGCGATTCATGTAAACCGTTGAAAAGAATCGCGATATTTCCTCTCTCGCGTAACCAGTGCTATCGGGAGCAAGCGAAATTAACCAACTGCTCAACATCCGCGTCGAGCTTGTTTTCAAGTGTTGAAAATGACACTTTAACGAGTTCGTCCCGTGTTGAACGAGAGGAGAGAGGGGGGGGGGGGCAAATGCGTATTCGAGATCGCTGCTCGATGATTCCTAAATAAGGACCTCGATGTTACCTCGAAACGGGAGCCGCGCTGCAATTTCTGCAAACTTAATTTTCACCCGGACGCGGCGCGGTTCCTTTTAATTCGTTCGTGGAAAACAGGAGAGCGACGAGATGATGATACGAGATGTATGTATACTTTTCGTCCGTGCATTGAAAAGGTTCGCCGCGGCACACGTCCAAAATATCGTATTTTTTTCTGCCCCAGCTATCGCGAAACATACACCACCCACCGTATACATATATATATATATAAAGCAAATCTCGACCCGAAGCTGTTGCCCGAACCGAGTTTTCATCCCAGACGGATTCTTTTTTTCCTCTTTTCCTTTTTTCCCCTCGCGAAATTCTCTAAATCAGACGCAGGTGCTATCAAAGAGAGAGCTTTTAGCCGACGCCTGGCTTCGCGCAAACACAGAAAAGTTGGGTCCCTTCCATTTACGGATACCGATAGAGAGAGAGAGAGAGAGAGAGAGAGA